GTCCCTCTTCCTCCCTCTCTCTCTCCTCCCCCTTCCTCTCTCCCTCCTCCTCTTCATCCTCTCTCCCTCCTCCTCCTTCCTCTCTCCCTCCTCCCTTCAGTTCCCTCTGCCTTCTACTCTCCCTCCTCCCTTCCCCTTCTCCTTCCTTTTCCCCTTCCCTCTCCCTTCCTCCTCCTTCCTCTCTCCCTCCTCCTTTTCCTCTCTCCCTCCTCCCTTTCCCTCTCCCTCTCCCTTTCTTCCCTCTGCCTCTTCCTCTCCCTTCTCTCTTCCCTTCTCCCTCCTCCTCTCTCCTCTCTCCCTCCTCCTCCTTCCTCTTCTCCCTCCCCCCTTCCCTCTTCTCCCTCCTCCCCTTCCCCTCACTCGTCCCCCTTCCTCTCTCCCTCTGCCTCTTCCTCTCTCCCTGCCTCTTCCTCTCTTTCTCTTCCTTTTCCTCTCTCCCTTCCTCCCCTTCCTCTCTCCCTCCTCCCCTCCTCTCTCCTCTGCCTCTTACTCTCTCCCTCCTCCCTATCTCTCCTTCCTTCCTCTCTCCTTCTCCCCTTCCTCTCCCCTCCTCCTTTTCCTCTCTCCTCCTCCCTTTCCTCTCTCCCTCCTCCCCTCCTCTCTTTCTCTTCCCCTTCCTCTCTCCCTCCTCCCCTTCCCTTCACTGTCCCCCTCCTCTCTCCCTCCATCCTCTCTCCCTCCTCCCCCTTCCTCCCTCCTCCCCCCTCTCTCCCTCTGCCTCTTCCTCTCTCCCTCCTCCCCTTCCTCTCTCCCTCCTTCCCCCTTCCTCTCTCCTCCTCCTCCTTCTCTCTCCCTCCTCCCCCTTTCCTCTTCTCCTCCTCCCCTTCCCCTCCCTCTCCCCTTCCTCTCTCCCTCTGCCTCTTCCTCTCTCCCTCTGCCTCTTCCTCTCTTTCTCTTCCTTTTCCTCTCTCCCTCCTCCCCTTCCTCTCTCCCTCCTCCCCTTCCTCTCTCCCTCTGCCTCTTACTCTCTCCCTCCTCCCCTTCCTCTCTCCTTCCTTCCCTTTCCTCTCTCCTTCCTCCCCTTCCTCTCTCCCTCCTCCTTTTCCTCTCTCCCTCCTCCCTTTCCTCTCTCCCTCCTCCCCTTCCTCTCTTTTTCTCTTCCCTTCCTCTCTCCCTCCTCCCCCTTCCCTTCACTCCCCCTTCCTCCCTCCCTCCTCCCCTTCCTCTCTCCCTCCTCCCCCTTCCTCTCTCCCTACTCCCCCTTTCTCTGTCCCTCCTCTCCCTTCCTCTCTACCAAACCGGTTTCCAGTCCCGGGCAAGCTGTCTCCTGCTTTTCTTATCATCTTCCACCCACCACCTTCCCTTCCCATCAATCTGACTGGCACTTCCCCCTTCCCCCATTCTCCGCTATCTCATTTTAAAAAACCGTCTTTTAATCCCAACCTTTTATCATCTTTCAACTTATCATTAACCCCCCCCCCCTTCCGTCAACTCATCTGACAACTATCCCCTTCCTTTTCCCCCAACCTACCAGCCTTCAATCCTCAACATTGTCACTTCTCCAACCTCATCATCGCTCCCCCCCAAAAATCGATCCATCTGACAACTACCCCCTGCCCCCCTCCCCACCCTCTATCTCCTAAATCGGCCTTCCATCCCGCAATTCCATCCTCTCCAAGCCATGTCATTGTCATCCCCCCCCCCTCTCCACCCCCTACTTCCCCATCTACTAAACCAGCCTTCAGTCCCCAAGAAATCTATCATCTCCCCCCCCCCCCCCATTCCACCCCACCCACCACCATCAATTTAACCGGCCTTCAATCCCCAACAAATTTTTCCCCCTCCCCCCTCCATCAATCCATCTAACCCCTACCCCTCCTCCCCATTCCACCCCTCTCCAGCCCCCCATCAACCAACCGGCCTTCCACCCCCCATTCCACCCCCTCTCCATCCCCATCAACTCAACGGCCTCCCACCCCCAATTCCACTTCCTCTCCAATCCCCCTCTCCACCCCCCATCAACTCAACCGTCTTCCAATCCCTCTCCACCCCCCATTCAACTCAAAACGCCTTCCACCCCCATCAATCCCTCTTCCACCCCCAATCAACTCAACCGGCCTTCCACTCAACCCATCCACCCCATCAACTCAACCGGCCTTCCACCCCATCAAATCCCCCTCTCCACCCCCATCAACTCAACCGGCCTTCCATCAATCCCCCTCTCCACCCCCCATCAACTTCCACTCCCATCAACTCAACCGGCCTTCCAACCATCAATCCCCCTCTCCACCCCCATCAATCCCCCTCTCCACCACCCCCATCAACTCAACCGGCCTTCCACCCCCAGCAATTCGTACACAACGAGTTTCCAACGTGCCACGAGCCAACGTCGGGTCGGGTCAACTACTGGCCGTCGGTGAATGGTCAACGACCGAGTCTATCAGCTGTGTCTCGCCGATCTGCCCCCCCGTCAGAGGTAAGGGGGTCGGGGCGGGGGGGGATTGGGGAAGGGGAGAAAGGGGGTGGGAAGGGATGGGAAGGGAAGGGGAGGAATGGGAGGAGGCAGGTGGAGGAAGGGAAGGAGGAGAAAGACGGGAGGGATAGGAAAGTGAGGAGAGAAGAGAAGGGATGGGAAGGGAAGAGAATGGGCGGAAAAGGGAGGGAGGTGTAGGGGGAAGGGAAGGGAGGAGAAGGGAGAAAGGGAAGGGAGGAAATGGTAAGGGAAACTGAAGAAGGAAGAGAGGTAGGTAAGAGAATAAAGAGAGATGTAAGGAGAAGCAGGAAAGGGGGAAGAAAGAAGGTGGGTGCTCTTGAGCTCTCTCTTCTCCCGACCTTTCGTCAGTGTCCAAATATGGCATCATTATTGCGCTGTCACGTGGTGTTTTCATCCTGCGTCTGACACACACGCTTATTTTAGACTCATTATGATCCACCGTTTGGCTCACTCGCCTAAAGCATCCGTCTCATAATGGACGCGAAGCCACACACGCCGCCCCCTGCGCCCGGACGCCCTCGCCCGCCCGCCGTGACGAAAGGCGAGAAAGCTGGGCGCCTCTCCCTCGCGTGGGCGTCCTCCCCAGCGCCCGGAATGGACTGGCCTCCCGCCGTCCCACGCGGGGCGGGCGGGGACGAGGTCACGGAGCGGCGCTGGCGGACTTTATCTTTTAACTAGTTATCCTTCCTTTTTTTTCTCTCTCTCTCTTTCATATTTTGACTTTTTTTATTCATGATCCTTTTTTTTGGGGGGTGAAGATAGTGGATTTTCTTTTTTTTTGACCTGATTACCATTCTTCTTCTTTTTTTTTTTTTTCTTTTCTTTTCATCTGTGATCTCCGTTATTTTATGTGTTTCGGGTGAAGGTGGCGGACTTTCTCTTTTATATTCTACCTGATTATCCTTCTCTTTTTTCTTTTCTTTTTTTTCATCTGTGATCACCGTTTAATTTATTCGGGTGAAGGTGGCGGACCTTCTCTTTTACATTCTACCTGATTATCCTTCTCTTTCTTTCTTCTTCTTTTTTCCCTTTTTACATCTATGATCGTTTAATTTCTTTCTTTTTTTTGGGGGGGGGGGGGAGTTCAATTAAAAAGGAGCCGGGGAACCTTCGGTGCCTGTGATCACTGCTCAAAAATCTTGATTGGATTTTAATCTGGGAATTATATGCCTTTCCACTCAGGCATCTGGCATTTCGTCGGAGCATTGGGCGAGTTGATGCTCCCATGCGACCCTGTGCATATGCATGGAGTGATAAGAGAATGATGGCGTGAAAGTGCATGAGAGGATATGCCACGAGCGTTATTATACGTGATAAATTTAGCTGGAATAGATGAAAAAAATGATTAAATCTATCAGTGTTCATATCACTTGTCTTTCTTTTTTCTAATTATAGCACGGTTATTTTCAGCACGCCGGCATCTAATGTTACTATTATAGTGCCATCATTTTTCCTTGCTTACAAAGAGCGTGTACATCCACCGCCTGGACGGGAGGTCGGGGGAGGGCGTGGGCGGGGATGGGACACGGCGCACGAGCGGGTGTGGGAGACAAGACCGCGGCAGTCAGCGTGTGTGGGCATCAGAGTGAATTGATATACAGCACAAGAGGGAAAGACAGGCTGGAAAATAGGATAGCATAACAGCGCTGATATGAATGCACCGCCTCTTACTTATTATGCAACGTCGCCTTTCACTTAAGTCTCTCATTTACCTTCTTTATCTCTTTCTTTCCTTCCTCTCCTCTCTCTCCTCTCTCTCTCTCTCTCTCTCTTCTCTCTCTCTCTTACTATCTTTTTCTCCTCTCACTCTCACTCTCCCTCTCTCTCTCTCTCTCCTTTTCTCTCTCTCTCTCTCTCTCTCTCTCTCTCTCTCTCTCTCTCTCTCTCTCTCTCTCTCTCTCTCTCTCTCTCTCTCTCTCTCTCTCTCTCTTACTATCTTTTTCTCTCACTCTCACTCTCCCTCTCTCTCTCTCTCTCTCTCTCTCTCTCTCTCTCTCTCTCTCTCTCTCTCTCTCTCTCTCTCTCTCTCTCTCTCTCTCTCTCTCTCTCTCTCTCTCTGTGTTCACCTACTCACCTCCCCCCCTCTACCCACAGCGTTCCCCCAAAACTCCTACTCCGAGTGGGCTGACTACCGCTTCTACGGACTCCGCTCTGCGATGGCCTACATGTTCGTCTTCGATCTCACGTCCTACGATTCCTTCACCCACATCAAGGCCCTGCGAGACCAGGTGAGGTACCCAGGCGCTGAGTCACCTGGTCAGTGAGTCGCCCAGTCGCTACGTTAGTGAGTTGCTAAGTCAGTGAATTATTTTCTATGAGTTATTGATTTTTAGAGTGTTTTCCTAAGGCTCTGGAACGGTGAGTTATTTAGTGAGTAAATGAGTCACCGAAATATACGTCAGTAATCAGTGAGTCAGCAAGTCAGTGAGTAAACCGAGTCAGTTTCCCCTCCTACTATATCTCAGTTAATTCCGTCAGTCTCATTATTATTATAATAAAGATATTGATAAAATCCATAATAAAGATAATAACAATAGCCATACCAACCCTTCTCATTCCTTTATTG